CCAGAAAGGAATAACCGGCGTCCACTCTCTCCGTCCCTATGTGGGGAGTGATGAACACCGCCGAAAGTAGAGCAGCGCTTACCGTCCCAGCCATCGTAAAAACAAGAGGCCCACGCGCGGAAAGGAGCTCCGTTATGCGAACGACCGTGGCCCCAAACCCAGCGCGGGATCGTAGACTGGTTTAGAAGGGGTTAGGTGCGTTTCCCCCTAGGATTGGGACGCCGTCAAGGCCTTTTACGCGTGGTGGCGCTTGACACCACGGGCTCTGGGAAGAAGTGGGACAGGCACGCGCACTGGGAATCGAGTAACTCGGTCACCTCACGGTGGCACGAACATTACGATATCCGTCCAAAATGGAGCCCTAAAAACAGGCGGCAGAGGGTAGAGGGCCGAGACTTCTTTTGTCAAAGGTGTGCTTTAGTAATCGGTTTTACCTAGTGAAATCTTAAATCGCACAACCGTTCCCGTGAGGAAATAAAATGAGAACATGTTCCTTGGAAGTGTGAATAAGGAACGCTGACGTACAAGACCAAAGTCGGGCCGATAAGCAGATTGAGTGCGGATGTCTTGATGGACGGAGTTTCCGTTGGGCCTTCTCACTAGGACCTCGTGCCGACGTAGACTTGTCCATGACTATATTTAATCGTTATAATGATCTACCGGTTCGTCTTAAGGGTCTGGTCAGACTGGCGCGGCAAACACCGATTACGACCGCCGAGAAAAAAGAGAATCAGTTTTGCGATGGCCTTAGCCATCGTCCGCAGTTCGACTTGTTCACTAACGTACGTTTTCGTTGCCAGCTTGAAAGACCTACGCCTCAAGAGCGCGTTTCTAACAAGACTTTAGAGCTTGCATTTACAGGTTTACAAGCAGCGCTTGCTGTTTGCCGCTCAACTGGAACGCGAACATTATACCGGGCTCGCTTTGCTATATAGTATATACGGTCATCAATTGCCACGTAACATCTGCAGAAGCTTCACCCCAAATTCTCAGAGAAATGACGTCACGACATCGCTCGGTACGAAAGCGACATTTTACTGTCGCCGCGACAAATGAGGACCGTCCGTCCGTACGCGTGTACACTTTTTTTTTTTTTTTTTTAAGAATGCCGTTTAACAGTGTTACGGCTGCACCTGATGCCCAATGCGCTTCAGCACATTGGGCATCGAGTGGAGCGCTGTCTGTGTGCGCAGGTAGAATGGCGAAGGAAAACGACATGGCGCACTGTAACTGCGGAGATTTTTTTTCCCTTTCTTTTAATTTAGTTCCGAGCTGCATCATTCGCTTGGGTCCTTCACTTTTTCTTCATGATTGCGCTGTCTCCAAGTTCCGCAAACAAATGAACTCCCTTTTTGTTCTTTTTTTATTAAATGCAGGGTGTTTCGAATTAGTCGTACGTACAACGCCCAACAAAACAGACCAGCGCGGCGCGTATCCTCGCACATACAAAGGCACTCTAGAAGAGGTTAGTAAATAAATTACGGAGCCACGTAGTTCTTCTAGGCTAGAGCAACTCTATATGATACAAAACAGTGAGTGTGCAGGCGAGCTGACGATAATGAATCGTATGCAACACCCGAGACTGTGGCGCGCGAAAAATTAAGAAACTTTTTATAGTCGAGGGAAAGGGCACCAATAGGAGAACGTCTCTCACTGATGCTGTCTTCGCCTAGAAGATGTCTGAATTTTTAAGACTATGATTTCTGTAGGCTCGCTGCATGGATTTTACCAAGCGTGTATGCTCTTCCAGCCGAACAAATACAGCGACTGTATTGTCACTGAACTAAATATGTCATCATGCTTCTTGCTTCATGATTCTTTTGCGCAGTTATCGGCTGATACCGCAACCTCAGTGGCTGCGAAGCGATGATAATCAATCAAACGATCATTTTATTGGCACCTATTGAAATACTGTCGGGAAACGGCAGAAATCCTTCCTACAATCTATCGACAAACTACAAAAGATGTATCGATTCCATACATTCGGAGAACAATGAATAAAAGACATATCAATATTGAAATATTTTTTAATTAAATTGTCGAAGTTTTTTTCTTCCAGCTTTTAGATTGTTTTTTTTTTTTTTTTTTTGAAACTTTCATTTTATTTTTTTTTTTGCTACAGACAGAGTTAGACCGAGATAAAGAAAACCCCTTTGTCGCCCTTGAAAACAGAACTACGCATCACAAAGATTCAAATCTTTTCTTGAATATTGTCACGAATGAAGGTGACGAGAAGACGAACAGTGTACTGAAAAATAAAGGTTTAAGAGGCGAACTTGAGCTAAACGAAAAACGAAGAACGAGCGTCGAGACAGCAGAAAAGCAGACGACGATTTGGCGGCGTAAGCGAGCGAAAGCGAGACTGACTCGACAAGGCCGCGGGTAGCTGCGTATCCACAGTGCGTCACTATCTCGAAAGTTCGGCAAAGAAGGTTCGAGCGTCGCGCGCTTGGGGCGCGGATGAACTGGCACTTTCGAGAACAAGAAAGCAGGGGGAAAGTTACGGCTGGTGCGAGAATGAACGCGAACCTTCTAGAAGTCCGTGGCTGAGCGTGGCTTTCTCGGCCTCGCGGGCGGCAATATGGTAGGGATGGTAATCGAACGCAAAGTATAGGGGAGAGACTTTAACCCCCCCCCCCCCCCCCCAAAAAAAAAAGGATAAATGTGGCTGTTTTTTTTTTCTTTTTTTAACGTTTATTTTGAAATATTTACTACAAAATTCGGTTCACATTCACTGACTTAAAAATATTTATTTATGCCTTATGTGACGGGTCCCATATTTTGAATTTCTATTCCATACCAACGGGTAAATCATTTACCAGCGCACCATTATCGAAATCGCCCAAAATAGAACCGAACAAAAAGTGAAACACAAGCGTGAAACGAGCGGGAATAATAAAATGCAAAGCCCGATATCTGAGCCCCAGGACTATACAAAATAAGCGTTGAGGAAAAGTAGCAAAACGCCATATCTGTTTTAGATTTTGAAATTCGTTGTATGAGAATCTAACTCCACGTTTAGTTTAGCTTGAATTCCACGGTTTGCCCAAGACCCCACGTTGTCTGCTCGCACATATCCATAATCATCTCCTTTTCCGATTGTGCTTTCCTTTTCCCCACACTCTCGACAGTAAACCATCGTTCCACTAGTGATGACGTATGAGGGAGAGGGAGAGCGCAGGACTTGTCTTCTATTCGCGACTCTAGCGACCTATAGGGGGCGCCACCACCAAACAAACATCGCGGCTGAGTCCAGGTCGCGGCGGCTCGGCCGGGCCGCCTGAACAGGTGGCGCGTTCAATTTAACAGATTTTCTTTTGTTAGTGCTCAATTTTATAGGTATTTGAACTGAGACGGTTAAGTGTAGCCGGTGCAGATAAACTTGCAAAGCATAGTTTTGTTTTGCCGGTGTTTTTTTGTTCTTTTCGTGTCAAACTTTCGTTTCGGAGATTTCGTTCAAAACCGAAACTATGTTCTCCGGAGAGACGGTAATATACTAATCAGTTTTGATTATCTAAGGAAAGCGGCGATGACTATAGAATTGTTCCACAGAGAGTAACTTTTCAGCTAACTCGCATGCCTCGACCATGCGACTCATCTGTCCGCGAAATCGAGCTTTTGTGCGTATCCGCGTTTAAGAAACAGCTCCAGTCGTCTGCTCGGCCAACAACACAGGCTGCAGGAAAATTATGAAAATTAAGCGACCGCTTCTTGAGCCAAGGAGCATGTTAACCCGCCGGCGCTCCACTAAGCAGCTGATACTCGTATGTCAATTCAGGTTTTAGTAACAATGGAGGAGTCATTTTGACGAGAGGGTTATGTATTATATTACGTACTATGGGGGGAGGGGGGTCCCACTAAGGCGATATTAGTATATCCTTCGGGTTGAAATATGAGCTTAGTCGACTAGCTATTAGGTGAGCTGCTGAATAAAAGTATATCTGACAAACGGAGTTTAAACTTAGCCAAATGGTTCTATAGCCGGCAGCACGGAGACAAACTGAAGAGAGTCTTCATTGAAGATCCACGCAGAACCTCTCTGCATTGAACTTTGCTTCGAATCCTGAACGGAGAAAATTAGTATTTTTTTGTGGCCGGTCAACCTGACCAATGTAGACGTATATTACTGCTGGCTTCGACGTCCTGGTAATATAAATATTGGAGGCGCGATAGGTCAAAATGCCGTGACAGCATCTAACGCTGCGAGACTTGTCTCCCACCTTTTGAAAACAGATAATTTCCCCCATTCATCATTTGCAGCGAGCAGGTTTTCCTGAATCAAGTAATTGCGAAATCAGCCCAACTCCTTCAGTATGGTCCAGAGGCTTTTTCGGCGAAAAGCAGCCAAGATGAATAGCCAAAGCAAAGACCGGCGTGGGTGGCTCAAACTTGAAGCTAACCGAACACAACCAAACTCAAGAAAAGCAGCTATTGGACCTTCCCATTCACTTGACTGCAACATTGATGTTCCCTCCGGTATCAGTTACCAAGCAGTCGTCACTTTGAATGTGATTCGAGACAGACAAGAAATCAAAAAGGTTTTCCGTGATTCCTCCTCATTCAAGAAATCGAAACCACGCGACCGTGTGCTGTGGAGTTAACGGGCTTTCAAACACGTAATAGAAGAAAACAATCTACTGAGGCTTCACCACACTAATGATCACTCAGGCAAACTTAAGAAATATTGGGACCTTCGTCAAATTACATTGTTCGCCTCCGCGCCGACAACACGTCTCCGCGAAAGCTACCAGAGACGCGGAGGGCCGCGGAGCGACCTGGACCGGCTGGTTCCCTGTTTTCCCGCTTGGCGGCGTCCGTTTTGCTGGAGTCGCGAATAGTCCGTTGCAACTCAAGAAGGCAGGGCGAGGGAGAGGAAGGCCGGGAAGGAGGAAGCAGACGGAAGGCTGGAGAAGAGAGGGGGAAACCTCCTCCTCTCCGGCCTTCCTTTCCCTTTCCTTAGCTTCTCATCTTGGGCGAAATAAACTGAAGCCACGCGCAACGCCGTGCACCTTGTTGTCTTTATATTATAGAAAGGGCGACGCCGTCGTTCTAGGAGGCGGCTCTCAGCAACGGACAAGCCCGGACCGCCTCCAGCACCGATCCCAAGAGCTTCCTCTCTGAGAGACGCAGACTGGCCGCCATCTTGGCCCGTGCGGTGGTATCCACGGCGTTCACGATCTGCTCGTACTCCTAAAAAAAAAAATAGAAAGAAAAAAAAAAAGTCTTAGTTTAGCTTCTGTAAATTTGTAATACAGTTGCAGCGACAGGTGCGACACCTTATGGCCGACTTACACGACGGACCAATTCGCGATTTTCGTCCGCGGGCCGCGTACCACGTGACCGGCACGTCACCGATTCCTGCGATCCGTGCCTCGTCCGCGGACGCGCGGACTGATAAAGTTGAGCGCCTTTTCACTCGCGGCTTTTCGGCGGGTGATTCACTTGAAGAGGGTTTAGTCTAGCAACGGTACAACGTTTTCTTTGTTTTTCGTATTGCGTGGATTAAAACGAAAATGGTGCATTATTGGGCCCTGTGCGTTCGCTGGTTTATTCTGTCGCGCAATTCTTGGTCCCACGCGTAAAGGAAGGTGCAGAAACTTTTCCGAGCTCACGCAATGCAGGTTCGCGGCTACTCCTCCGGGTTCGTATCAAAAGCTTCTGCCAAAACTCGTCTGACACAACGCGATCTTTTTTGCACGTGGAATCAACCTTACACCCAGCAAAACCTTTCTCGTGACAGTGGTGTACTGAAGTGTTGTACGCGAACGCCCCTTTGTCGGCCCAGGACTGCGTCGCCTCTACGCCAAAGCCTCCTCGAGCAGGACCATGCTTGTGTCACTGCGATAGGCACAGAACTTCGCGCTAAGCCTATCACGGTGTTCTGTCTCTCTCTGCACGTAACAGCGGTGCACGATTATTTTTCGCTGTATAGCAAACGTCGATTTCGTTCTTGGACAACGATGCGATCATGTGATGCCGGAATGGACTTCTTCCAAAACCGACGCGCCCCATTGCGGCGAAATACGACGCAGTGCACTCTGGGAACTAGTAGGCCACTCAGTTTCGGTTTCGACTGAGCAGCTCCATCTCATGCTTCATCTTGTAAACCCTGAGATGGGGAACAATAAAAAAACGGACGAACACAACAAAATCTTAAGAGATTTTGTTGTGTTCGTCCGTTTTTTTATCGTTCCCCATCTCAGGGTTTACAAGATGACGATTGATTACCAGCTCGCCTGCACTCTCTCACTGCTTACAAATCTCATGCTATCGCGCCGCGACCGAACGCGCTGCTTGCGTTTTCGATTATCCGACTTTTCACGAACGTACAATACACTAATTTTGGAGCGATACAAAATGAACACCGGGGCACTTTCCTTGGTTCCGGAAACACCGGATATTACGAGCGCGTATGCAAACGTAGTAAGACGTGGCTTAGTCACCTCACCTTTGAGTTCAATTTCAATAATCAAGTTTAGTACCAGTGAACAACAACTGAAATTTGGTCACCTGGAGCCTTACACGTATTTTGTTTGCCAAACGTCCGCTTCTTGTTACTTCATTGGGCGAAAAGCAAGCCGCATCCTCACAGGAGTATCAAAGTTGAGCCCAGCGTTGACGCATAGACTTTTAAGGAAACGCAATAAATTCGACCTCACTATTGCACCAAGTTACTATGATGTCTTCCTCGTGTCATCATGTATCTCCCACTCAAATTTTATGCTGATAGAAGATTAAGTTTTCGCAAACGCTGAGATCGGCTAGCTATGACGGAGGCCTTAACAAGCGTCCCTACTCCTCGCTAAGCCTTTTTGGACGAGCTTTTACTGACGCCCAAGATCTCTGCCTAAACGGTGTGTTTGAAGTTATCTCGGCATACTCAGACACGAAGAAAGCAAACACATAACAAATGTTATGGCCATTAGCAACTATCAAATGCACTTTGAATAATTTCGTTCGTTTGGCGCACCGCATAGGGGTTCGTGCCCGTCCGGCGTACTTTAGGCAAACGGTGCGACGTTTTTCACACAAGTGCTCGACTTTTGGTTTCTTAAAACGGTTTGTATGTGCGAATGTGCGTATACGATTGCAGGATAACGTTATGCACATACGCGATGTTCAATATTAATAAAATGCAAGTGGGTGGGGACTTCGTTTCGTGCAGTGCTGCGGGTCAGTACAGATAAGAGATAAGAAGTGAGCTTTTCAATGGCGCCTTCAAGTTTTACCTCACGTACTCAGGCGCATTGAGAAAACAGCAATTGCAAAGAGTAATATTTCGTCTATGGACGCACGAAACAAACAAACTTCCTGATCAACAACACTAATGTAAAGGCGCGAGCTCGATGTGTGCATACTTATTGGTTGCTGCAGCTTGTTAATGCAAGATCCCCGAGCTTCGCAGCGTCGACATTCCCAGCACTGGCTGGTCCACATACCTCGAAACGCTAACAGAAAGGCTCAAGTACAAAAATACAACAAGCATGTGTTAAGACAAGCTATACGTCTCGGGCTTGTGCTAAAGCTTTAAGGTCTGGCCATTTAGGTTAGTTTAAAGACCACAAATGACGCTCTCGGGACCGGAAAACGACGACGTGTCGACGTGTCGATCGAAACCGAAACCCTGCCACTCTCCTCCCTGGCCAACTAGTTCCCAGAGTGCAACGCGCGCCGTGTTGCATGCAGGGCTTTATGGAAGTAGTCTATTCCGCGGCACCGAGCAGGTCGCGAACAGGTTCGGTCCGTCCTCGCTCGTTGTCTCCTTCGCGTGGATGCGCTTGAGAGACGGACGAACCGCGGACATGTCGTCACATGATCAATTCGCCCGCGGATCAGTCCGTCGTGTGAATCGGCCATTATCGAACCCTATAACGTATCCTTATGCATCGTGAAGTAAACCTGTGACGACCTTATGATGAGCTTGGGATGATACGTTCCGCACGTTCTGCCGCGGCCGGCACGTGCATTACGTGGAAGAGCCGTCGCCAATAGTCTGCTCGGAGGGTGACACGCTCATTTATTTCAAACACACAGAAGCCATCTAACACACTCAGCGTGATCAGACTCGGGTGGCATAATGCGACGTCACATGCGGTTTATTAGACGGGGTGCTGGAGCAGCAAAATTAACGTCTCGTGACTTCCCTTTCCCCCTTAAATATAGCGGGGAAATTGAAGGCACGCGACCCGATGTCACGTGACCTTTACGCAATTTAGTTTCTCTTCTAAATTTAGCGGGAAAATTAACGTCACGTGGCCTACACATTAATTCAGTTTTCCCACCAAATTTAGCAAAAAAAAAAAATTGATGTCACGTGATGGTAGAACATTTCGCGTGCGCAACACAATTGCCCAGCAATTCGCCGTTAATTCTCGTTTTCTACGAGTATTTGGCGAAAGCGGTGGCCAGTATGGCCGCTGAAAGGCGCGATAGCGCGCATACCTCGGCCGTCTTGGGAAACGCTCTGAGCAACAGCTCGATCCGAGTGGCGAGGAATGCCGCGGCGTCCCGGGCGTTCCCGTCCGACGCTGTCAGGACGTGGTCCGTGGGCAGAGCGTCGTCAGGAACAGCTGCGACGGCACAACGATGCTGGGCTCAGACAACACTCCATCATTACCTAACGCAACAGCCCAGCGTGCGATGCAAGTAAGCACCAACATCCACGCCGCCAGACGCTCCCCCCAGCTTGCACCGTTGCGTAAACCGTTTCGAAGGCAGCGCTGCGCTCTGATGGGCCGATCAGATAATGTCATTAGACGGAAATTATACTACGTTTTGCCGTGTGGCAGAGGTATAATCGGAAGTTGAACCAAGGAGATGGACGATGGATTCGAGAGAATTATTCGAAAATATGCGGATGAATAAACCGTAGTTCTGCGACGCCATCGAAAGGCAAAATCTGTGGCGGAGCCGGTATTTGAACTCCAGATACTGGGAGGTTCAAAGTTCAAATGCCGGCTCCGTCAAAGTTTTTGTCTTTCGGCGGCGTCGCAGACTTTCTTTCATTCGATCAAGTAAGGTTCATTCATCTACCTATTTTAAGATTAATTCCTCTTTGGAGACCACGTACGAAGATGGAAAGTGCCCGTCATACAACGGATATGCAGTGTGAGTATAAAAACACGCGTCAATTCTTCGCTCCATCCGCGTGGCTCTCAACGACGACGGCACGTTGTCTTCACTGATTCAAATGGTTAAGGAAAAAGTCAACGATTGGTGCTTCGAACGGATTGCGGCGCAAGGCGACTGACCGTCGCCGTGTCTCTGCTCCTGCGGCCACCATTCGGGCGCCATGCTTGCAATTGTCTATTAGCTCCGAGATGTTTCGGTGGCGCCCTCTTATGGTTTCCAACCGAGACGTCAGGAGTAGGATTTGCCCCGCCGTGACCTCACGAGTAGGATTTGCCCCGCCGTGACGTCACGAGTTGCTACCCTGGCTACTTGCCATCAGTTGCCACGACAAGGTCGACGGTATGATTAAGAAGCGCAGTGGAAGCTAGAATCCATCGCATTCCGAAACTAACGCCGTCGAAGTTGACAGTCTGACAATGCTCTGATGCCCGTTGTTTGGCGAATCATGGGACGCTGACCGCAGCGACGCTTTTGGCCGCGCACGTCGCTAACATCAGCCGCCATAGCTCCATACCATGCTCCTGTGCCCGTACCCTCTGCAGCATACATTGGGCACCATGGAATTTGTTCGACTCGGCAAAGCCTGCCGAGAAGAACAGATTCGATGGTACGCTGCAGAAGATATACGGGCACACGAGCACGGAGCAATGGCGGCTGGTACGCTAGGATAGGACGTCACGTGCGAGACATGCATAGGTTCACGGGCTTTCGAGCACGGCCAAACTTGACAAACAAGAATCTCTACAGTCTGACAGCTAAAGGAACGCAGGGGCGTGGCTCAATATGTTAATTTATGCTACTCGCTTCGTGATTGGTTCTTGGGCATTCTTATCGGTTAATGCCGCAATCCCATTGGCTGCGGAGCTATAATTAGAACAGCACGAAACTCGCCTCACGCTGTTCTAAACTATAGCTTTCTTTACCTTCGGGTTGCGGCTTATACAAGCAAGCAGGGTAGTGCGTTAGGTTACATCGCCAAAATAAATTTGCGTAAAGAGCGGCAAAAAAAGGAAAAAAAAATGTAAACTTTGCTTTAGCAGGAGGAACGTGATGAAAGCACTCGACACTATTATTCCCAAGTTCAACCAACATGTCTAGAGTTAAAATGCGTTAATTTCACAACACCGGTTCCATAAAGTGCGTCGCACACTTTTCCTACACAATAGCTCGGGACCCTTAATCTCAATGAACGCGACGCTCTAACCCCCATAGGTGGCGCAAGTCGTCGGGACTGGCCTGTTGTTGCGGTTTCTATATACTTCTTTTTACCGTCACTTGGCAAAGAGCGGACGCTACGGCCCTTTCAAGCGAATCGCAGCGACGGACGAGAAGTACGTGACCTCACTCAAGGTAAGAGAGCGAGAGCGTGACTCAGAAGAAGACGGGAAGGAGGAACTCCACTCTTCCCCAGACCCTCTTTCGATCGTCCCGGACGTCGCTGTTCTTCGTCGCGGAGAATAATTAGCCCGTAACTCAAAATTCGTACAAAAGCGGCCTTCCTTTCTCTCCTCCCGCCCGTGGCTTCGACAGCACTACGCGCAACTAGTCACGTGTCTCCCTCCCGCGCTCTGATTGGCTCACCGTAACCTACGCTGTTCGCCAAGTTACGGTGAGTGTGTAGCCGCAGGAGACGGCGTTTAAAATTTCCCCGCGGGTTATACCGAATGCGGCGTTTAATCCCTAGCTAAATTCAAATAATATGCAAATCTAACGAAAGGATCAGGAGGAGTTTCCCTTGTTTTGCCACCCAAAAACGAGAAGCAAAAAAAAAAAAAAAAAAACGAAATCCAACGCTCTTACGACACGCGGGGAAAAAGAAGTTGGCTCCAAGGAAGATGAATGCAGCGCTTCCTAGCACAGCGCGCTCAGACATGCCGCGGTTAGACGATCACTCCTATCCAGGCGACGACGGGTGTTGAGATTTATGTGCGGAGTCCACCAGATTAGCGTTCCATTTATCTTCGAATGTCGAGCTGCGAAATATTCATCCAAGATGTTACCAAAGCATCCCCAAAAAATATTAAGAAGAGTTGTACCTGTACACTGTAGGATGGGATAGGAAACTAACCATAACAACATCGTCCCAGTTCATGTCGGAGCTGGTACAGTCATACAATCTTTCCACGACTGTAAAATGTGTCCCAAGCGAAATCATGTCATTCGAGCTCCAAATGGATCTTCTGAGAAAGCTCCACGGATGGGCGAACGCTCCTACGTTTACAACGGTTGCACACGTTTCGGAGATGGGCGTTGCATGCCATCGGCAATCTTAAGCACGAGTTTTCCTTTTCGAGGCTGCCTTCACATCTCCGTGCTTTGGACATTCGTAACTTCCGACATTTAAAACATCTACAACGCAGCGTGCGAAATTAACCGTTCTGCAAAAGTGGCCGGACGTGGGACCAATATTAGGGGGTTTCAGTATAGGAGGCCACAACGCTTTGGGTACCCCGAGCAACTTTGGGGCGCCGCACTGCTTATGCGCTGAAGTTTTGCGCAAGCGTAGCGGCTTTCTATTCTAAAACTCTATATTAAAAAGATAAATCTTACGATCAAGTCAAGTCGATCTTCTTCGTCCAACATTGATCATCCAACATGGAACTACTTTCGTCACTGGTCATTAGGCTTAACGTTGGACGGCCGATGGTAAAAGCTGCCCAATCGTGGGCGAGCACGGGAGGTGGGGGGAAGTGTGCACCGTACCCCATGGAGGAATGTGTGGAGTGACCCATGGAGGAATGTCTTGAGTGACCACACCGCGTTAAACACTACTTTTACAGGTCTATAGTTTTCTGTCGACGTACCGTCCCTAAGCACCAGGATCCTCAGGAACGTGGACAAGTCTTGAGACACGGGCCGAGGTCCGACAGACAGGGAAAACGTGCCGCTCCTGTGACGTGAAACGCGCATCAACTTTGAACAATATACAATGTATCAATAAAACAAACTAAAAAAAAATATTTGCTTTCTTTCATTGCGAGGACAACAAAGAGAGAGCTGTTCTTACTGCCATCACGTTTCTCTGCTAGTGTCATACGTGTCTTAAATCTAGCCCCTTTATAAAAGCATGAAATGCTTTTTGGCGGAACCCCCGAATCCCAATTTGTTACCGTTCGTCCCTCCGCCCGTGCACTTCCCACTAAATGCAGCGGGAAAATAGATGGCACGTGACCTCACGTCAGGAGACCTATTTAGCAATTTACTTTCTCGACTAAATTTAGCGAGAAAATTAACGTCACGTGAACTATACACCAATTCAGTTTCCCCGCTTAATTTAGCGACGAAATCGACATCGCGTGACCTATGCAGCGAGTTAGGTTCCTCGCTAGATTTAGCGGGGGAATCGAGGAATGACCTCACAATAAGGTCTTCGCGCCCTGAAACGACTCTTTCGAGTTTTCTAAGCAAATTTAAAAGATGCTTTAATTGAGCGCGTTGGCGATAAAGTCAAATGCAAGAAAGAATAAAACATAAAGGATGACTAAAACAACCCATCTTTCGACTTGCAACGTACAGGGTTCAATGACGACAAGCACCGAGCTCCGGTATTCTCGGGAGTGAAGGGAGAAGGGGAGCCGAGGAACATCCAGAGGAACATTTCGTCGCCGTCTATGGTGTTCATGGACAGAGAGGTTGCCTTCCTGGAACCGGAACTGTCGGCGGCGCAGACGAGGAGACGTGTGCGCTGAGGACAAGCGGGATGCGGTCTCTCCCCCCCCCCCCCCCCCCCCCCCTCCCCTTTTCCGCTGGGTCTACTCCTCTTCCCCTCCTTCTCCGCGGGACCCGACCGCCCTGAGCAGAAAGGCATGAAGCCACCGGAAGTAAGTGGCTTGTCCCGGAAGTAAAAGCTTGACAGACTTTTGAAATCTTCCGAGTGCTCGATCGAACAACGTTCAAGGCGCTGGATTTTTTTTTTTTTTATCATTTCAAGAGAGCCTGCTTGTTGCGGAGTAACAGCGCATGCGGACCCGAGAAGTCTCCTGGGAAGCCATTCGACGTGAAAATTTTAAAATTCTAGTTGACCAAGTGTGCGTATGTCCCACGTTCAAATGCCTTATTCTCAGGATTTAATTCAGAACGGGAGTGTTAAAAACCAATCAAAGACACAAAAAAGCATGGACCAAAATATCGGCTGAATCCACTAGGAAGGCCGGCACACGCTCGGCTTCCGGGACAAGCCCCCAACAGTGGATATCAGTGCGTGTGCCCCCCCCCCCCCCCTTCCCTCAACTACTAGACTCCATTTTCCGGCTCCGCTTTTCCCTTCACCCCCGAGAACTCGTGAGCGCGGTGCTTGTCGGCATTCAATTCTGTGCGCTGCAAATCGAAAGATGTGTTGTTTTGGTCGTTCTTCGTGTTTTATTCTTTCTTGCATTTGAATTTAAAAGATCGCTCCATTACCTACTGCATTTCATGCAATGCGGGACTTTGGGGAAAAAGAAGGTCGCTGCCAAGAGTTACGATTACTCTTATTTGCTTCAGAGAAGCAGACATGTTAACCCACATAAAACAATGCACCTTTCAAGAAATAAAAAAAAAATCTGTATCCACCCAAAACCAAAAATACAGATAAAACAGAACGACGTTCGCCAAACATCATGCAGATAAAAAAAAAAAAAAAAAAAAAAAAAACAAGCAAAGACGGGTTTTAGCTTTAAAACAAACGGGAATATCGGAACGCGAAGGAAGTAAAAATGCGTCAACGTACAGAGACAGGTCGTGCTCCTCACAGAGCTTGGCTTTGGCCGCAAACAACGGATCTTTCTTGCTGATTCCTGCAAAGGAAATAACCCCAAATTCGGCAACCGAAAAAGGCTCACCCTGCAGCTCAAGAGAAAAACTCCTACATCATAGCGCGTTTTTTTTTTTTCTTGTTTCTTTTTTTTTTAGATGTTTATTTGCTCTCTAGGAAAGTGCAAACGGAGTCCTGCGCTCTGTCGATCCCTGACATGTGGGGGACCTCGACACTCTGCAAGCCAGACCAGAGCTGCTGCTGCAATAGCCGTTCCCCCCCTCCCCTCCCCTCCCTCCCCTCCCTCCCCCCCCTCCCCCTCCCCCTCCCCCTCCCCCCCCAGTGTAGCCATAGTCCGTATACATACTGAGAAAGCCTGGCAGATCGCCACGAGAAGCGGCCGCCGAAATGGAAAAGGTGGAGCGGCAGACAACGGGTCAGAGGAGAGCCACGTGACTTGCGCCCCGCTGCGGCGAGACGCCGAAACACACTTCTCCCGAACGAACAAGTGTCTGTTCGGGTTTTCGCCGCTGCAAAAGCTGTGCGCTGTTGTCCAGGTTCCCCGAGAAGTGGCTTTTTGATGCTCTGTGCTACCAGATCCTCGCGCTCGAAAGCTGCGAACGGGCACTCTATGGCTCCGTCGTGAAACTGCCAGGCTTTGAGTATAAAGGAGGCTATGGTGTAGCAGCGCACGTTCCTCCGAAACCGGAACGACAGCACGTTCCTCGTTCCTTCTCAATCTCGGAACGAGTTGCCGTTACAAATTCCACAGGATCGAAAGGAACGCGTTTGCGTTACTTTTCTAAGAGAGCAACGTGCACGTTACCTTAATGTTACGTTTGCGTATTAAATTAAATACTGCGCTCCGTAATCGGCAGATAAAATAAAGCGAGCGAGCAAAAATATCCACATCGAACTACGAGTCGGGTCGCCACAATCACATTTTGGTCCAGTTCTTTGTATTCGACACTCTCCCGGACACTTTCCCATCCCCTCGAGGTCGGACGTTGAAATCGTTGAGAATCAAAAGCCTAGATGCCGACCAAACTCACGTAAAATTCAAGAAAAAAAATAGAAAACGACGTTTACAATTCTCTGTAATGCCGAATTAGAGCGCAGCTATTGAGGAGGAGGGGTAGGTACGGAGGAGAGGGCATGTTTCTCCTCCCCCTCCTCTCCTCCTCACCTGCTTCCCTCCCATTTAGCGGAAAATTTTGGCTAAATTTTCCGCTAAATTTAGCGGAGAAACTGAATTGGTGTTGAGGTCACGTCACGTCAATTTCCCCCCGAAATTTAGCAGGGAACACTTTCCGCTAAATATAACCAAAACAATTTCGCGCTAAATTCAGCGTAAAAATTTTCCCGCTAAATTTAGTGTAAAAACTTCCCCGCTAAATTTAGGGGGAAAATTTACCCGCTAACTTTAGCGGTGAAACGTCTTATAATGCAACACCGGGTTATAATAATGCAACACCGGGTCTATAATGCAACACCCGGAAACAGGCGCCTAAGAGCTGCGCTCTAAAAATATATAAACCACCGTTTTTTTTTTCTGCCGTTTCCTCGAAAACGTAACGAGTTTTTGTTCCAGTTCCACAGAAGCAAGATGGAACGGCAGCGCTCCTCCATTTCTTCTAAAAAGAACGCGTTTCAAAGCAAGTCGTTTATGAGAACGTCCGTTTTGTACAACACTGCAAAAGTTAAAAAAAAAAACAGTAAAAAAAGTTAGTAGGCCTGATTTTAGAGTAAAACTTAACACACTAAAAAAATCCGTTTTTGAAAAGTTTTTTGATGACCCAAGAACTTTTTCAGCTCGTGAAGAATAGCTTCGCCTCAAGCACTACTGGCTCCTCGCGCAGTAAAGAAGCAACTGGACGATGATGAACCCTTTAGCATCAAGAAGGAGCTTAAAGGGGTCATGAAACGATTTTCCTACATCTTCCTCCTTAGCTTTAATCCTCAACTCAAATGCGAATTGTGAAATCACGTGGTCGTGACATTCCTTCGGCACCGGTGCGATGACTCCTAGCTTCCACCGTGCTTTTTATGCACACCAAATATAACTTGTCATTCCCCAGTGACAATAAGTTCCGTCAGTGCACTCACTGGCCACGAACGCGAATCCAAATATTCGTCGACGGATTGATTGTTGACGAGCGCATACGTCCGAGTGGCGCAGTTCTCCTGTCCAATGCGTGAGCTGGGCTCTGCTGACGTCAGTTTGGCGCCGGTGACGCGCTTTTGGAACCGCGGATGTATCATAGTGAAAAGGCGGAGAGCTTTTGAAGGCAAGAAGGTACAAAATAGTCCGCTATATTTTAAAATGTTCGTACCGAAAAGCTCGCTTTTGACTTTCTACCCTTTTTCTTTTGGCCAACTAAACGATATGCGATTAGTAAAGTACCAATTTAAAATCATTCATCCCAACCCAAAATTCGTTTCATGGCCCCTTTAAAAGAAGCCCTTATAATGTTTTCACAAAGAACCCTTTTAGGGGGTGCTCGAAGACCGAGGACCAGTTCGCGCTTTCCTTTTTCCCCCACTTCCTCCTCTACCCCTTCTACCCTGCCCACCATTGCCCGTTTCCTCTTCCCCCATCGTGAGGAGGATCTTCTGCCTTGCAGAATCTCGAGCGTGGTCGTCAGCCTTCAAGATAACTTTTTAGGGTGCAAAATATGGACAAGCCGAAGAGCCCCCCCTCCCCTCTTAAGAGTTCTTTTACGACCAGAATTTTTTAGAGTGTAAAATCCAGAGTGGCAGCCAGGGCTGCGCACAGAGACAGCTTCTGAAGCTAACTTTCCGAAGAAGCGAAAATTGCCGGGTATATGGTGAAGCGGTTGACACGGCGTAAGTGTTCCCCTCACCCAACTTGATGTCCACGGCGTCGTGCCGGTTGTCGGCGTACACGAAGCCGTTGTGAACCAGGAACTCCCCGTTGCTTCGTTTCCCGTAGAAAATGGTCACCTGCAACGCGGACCCCACACTTTACACCGACGACTTAACACACCAGCTCGCTTCCTTTACAAGCGGCCCGCGGGTATATTCGAATGCGCATGCGCGAGAATCCATATATCAAAGTACGAAGCGTCTGTAGCGCATGCTCCCTACTGATGTCACACCACCTTGCTGTGACGTAATTTTGTCATGTGACACCTAGTCATCTGTCCGACGTCAAGTGACGCCCGGTCATTCTGCCCGACGATACCTCTTCCACTTCTCTGTTCTAGAACGTGTGAAACGCGTTCGAACTAACAGTTTAGACCGATGCTCACTGTTTCCATTTAGTCACGAGCCATTAGTTTCTTTATATTTTTTGTTTCCTGCGCAGTCGGAGGCTCCTCAGCCACGGCCGCTGAATCCCTTAAATCCAGAGGCCATGGCCCAGCACACAGTCCTGGACAATATGAGAGCGGACTCCCAATCAGGCTGCTTTCAGCGTTGGCCACGTGACGCACAAGCTTCCGTCCCACTCTTCGTGCTTACACTTTCCCCAAATGCGCGTTCCATTGGAGCACGTGGTGTTGTTGAGGCAATCACTGCAGATCTACAGAGCCTGTCCGGCCGATGACGAGGCCCCAAAAAACTCGCTTGGCTCGAAAACTTGATCAGCGCAGAGACACTGCGCGTGACGTTTCAATTGCTTCAAGTTTCCCGCACGAATCAAGGTTTGAAGTCATTTTCCGTGCTTCAAGTCAATCGCCGCATACGATTCATAAATCGCTGCGATCGGCCCATCCCCTCTTGGTATGAGGTAAAAAAGACAAGCGGGCTTTTTCAGGGTTGTGCGTGTACCGTGAAACATCGCCGATTCACTGTCCCTCTCTGGGTAGCAGTGATTGGTTTTCGACACACCGATCAGATGCACGACCCTTTTTTAAAGCATGAGATGCTTTTTAACGCTAACCCCCCATCTCAAAATGGAGTCCGTTCGTCCGTGCATTTTCCGCTAAATTTAGCGGGGAAATCGATGTCGCGTGATCGTCTCACGTCACGGGTCCTACAGACGAACTGAGTTTCCCGCTAAATTTAGCGACAAAACTGACGTCACATGAACTATACATCAATTCAGTTCCCCCGTTAAATTTAGCGGGAAAATTGACGTCACATAACCTATGCACCAATTCAGTTTGCTCGCTAAATTTAGCGAGAAATTTGATGTCACGTAACCCACCGTCATGGGACCAGCAGACCAATTCAGTTTCCCCGCTAAATTTAGCGGAAAAATTGACGTCACGGACCAATGCACCAATTCAGTTTTCCCGTAAAATTTGGTGGGAGAATTGACTTCACATGATCCACACACCAATTCAGTTTTCCCGCAAAATTTGGAGGAATAATTAATGTCACGTAACGTCACGTCAAGTGACCTATACGCCAATTCAGTTTCCGGGTCAATTTGGCGGGGAAATCGATGTCACGTAACCTGACGTCACATGAACACTACACCAACGTAGTCTCCCCGCTAAATTTAGCGGGAAAATTGAAGTCACGTGACCCGACGTCACCTGGACTTATATGTATATATATATATAAAGATAGATGAAAGTGTAGAAGCTTGAACGCAGGAAGAATGTATAGGAATAAAGGCGTCGCCGTAGAACAACTTGTTGCCTTTTAATACCCAACTGTTCTGCCGGGAAGACCCGGCTTCTTCGGGGGTTTGACAAAAAGTGAAACACCCGGTATATATATATATATATATATTGTTGTCACGTGAGAAGTTAAAATCATCACCTCTTAAATACTGCATGCTGGTACCACCAGCGTTACGCGGACCGTGCGCTGTCAACAACCATGCTCCTGGTCGGGACAAATACCTGCAGACCAGGAACTATAGGAGCCAGAGACTAGAGTATGTTTGGCGGGCAGCGTGGGCCCACAGCACGAAGCTCGGACGGCGAAACCCGTGGCGCGGGCAGCGGTTTAAGTTTTCGACCATGTCCATTTCGACATCCTGGGTCCCTTGCCACCATGTCAAGGTTTTACCGACATTTTAACTTGCGTCGACACCAAAATGGCCAGAGGACACTCCCCTTCCCCACATTACCGCTCTTTACAGCGTCCGGGTCACCAATTTGTAGCGCATTCGCTGTTGAGGACGGAAGAGAACGTTTTCGCCTCAACCCGGAGTCCGTCGCACCACCTCTTCCGTCCCCAACAACGAACGCGCTACACTGCATTTCATGCACTGTACAACTTTAAAAACAAAAATCGCAACATTTTTTTTTTTATTGGTGCAGCTACGCTTTGTTTTACTTTAAGTCCGGACACAGCCGACGCTACACGAGCTGATGGAACCAACCTTACAGAGTTAAAAGCGCAAGTCACTGAGCCTTCCCTGTACATGATTTGTTCAGTGAAGTAGCACAACTACAGAAACATGACGAACAACATGACGGTGCCCCTTTGACGTTGTCCGATTATCCCATCAGCTTGTAAGCCTCCAGACTTGAGGCTGGTTCACACAACCCTGTTTTCTTACGTTACGTTACGTTACACCTTATGTCTGCTTACGCCACAAGTCACCGGGACATCTGTGCTTCATATTAAGCATGGCTACCAGCTCAAGGAGATAGCCTGGCCATCGGCATTCGAGAATCTTTCGCTTTAACGTAATGAAACGCAAGACAACGGTGGTGTGTGAAACCGACTCTTAAGGCCCGTTCACACTCTTGCAACCAAGTACGACCGAGAGAGACCAGACCGGTTTTTAAGCTTCTTGCGACCTCTTAGGACCGGATGCGCTACAGCGAAGCTGGTCCTAAGAAATCGCAAGAGGCTTAAGACCCGGTCTGGTCTCTCCCTGTCTTACTCGGTCGCAAGAGTGTGAAGGGACCTTTAAGGTGAAAGGAAGTATAAACCTACGACTCTGCTCTTAACTGGTTGTAAGGCGGCGCGGGTCACTTACCGGATCTCCCTGGTGACAGTCCTTGACCGCGTAACACTTGAGGAGCTTCGACTCCGTGTCGTAGTCCGTCAGCACCTGCCAATCGAATCGGCCATTGTATACACTGACCTCTGGTATAGATAACTGCAAACATGGCGCCCTTGCGGGTGCCCCCCAGGCGTGCAAGCGTGTGCACCGTGCGCGTGAACATATGTTAGACAAGCTTGTAATAGCACGGCCTTTCCCTCCCTCCTCCCTCCCCCCTCTTTCCCCCACCTCCCCCTCCCCCCCCTAGCGGAGAGCATGGCGGCGGCTAGTCGACCCGCTTGCATAGCTGCTCTCCGAGCCTGGCACGAGTGAAGCCACCGGAAGTTCGATGCTCGTCCCGGAAGTCGGGCGTCTGCTGAGCTTCCTAGTGCATTCGGTCGATCTTATGGTTCATGATTGCTTGTGTCTTTGAGTGGGCTTTAATAATCCCGATTTGAATAAAATCCAGAGAATAAGGAATTTGAACGTGGGACATGTGCACACTTCATCAACTAGAATCTCAAAATGTTCCCATCGAATGGCTCCTCAGGAGACTTCTTGGGTCCGCATGCGCTGTTCTACTGCGCCATAAGCAGGCTCTCATGAGAGGACAAGAAAAAATCTAGCGCCCTGAATGCTGTTCGAACGAGCACTCGAAAGAGTAGTAAAGCCTATCAAGCGATAACTTCCGGGATAAGCCGCTTACTTCCTGCGACTTCGCAACTGTTTGTTCGATACGCCATCCAGCCTCCTGGTGGCGATCAGTGATTGTATTCGCGTCTTCAGCTCATTGCTCGCCCTCCCGCGGCGGAAACGGGAAGCGCTCTAGTGAGAATCCCGCGGTTCTCCTGCGGGCACGGCGGAACTGCTCGCGATCATGGCTCGTGAAATGCCTTTTCCGAATGCAAACACTTTTCAATGTCCCAATGTATAGTGCTGCAGCCGGCATAGGATTGAACCTTATTAGAAAGATTTAGTATTGCGTATAGAAGCTAACGCAAGCGCTGTGCGTTTGCGTTGGAGTTGTGGGCTCCACGCTGGAGCAGGCAATCCCAGACCGAGATTTCGGGCTCCGTGCACGCGCAGTGTACGCAGCAATAATGCAAACCCACAGTGCTTGCGACCGGCTGCATTGCTGCGCATCCCGTCGTAAGCCGTCCTAAGAGGCTTCAAAATCGGTCATCATCATCGTAAGCTTTCATATTCGAAAAGTGAAAAGACCTTGCGGTCCGTGGTCGGTGCACTTAGTCCAGTGCTCCGTTGACCCCCCAGATTCGGCGGGTTCGCTCGACCAGACGCTGCTGGTCATCGAGCTCTGTGCCGGATAGGGCTGCCTTACAGGAGGAAAAGGTGGGGGAAGGAATGGGGGTGATATCCTCACCGGGGGCCCACATGGAGTGGCACACGTTGGGGTACTCGCTTAAAAATCGGTCATTATTGTCTCAGCCGGTCGGAGTCAAACGCAAGTGTGTGAACGGGCCTTCAATGTGCAGTTCGCGACTGATGGTAAGTAGACAGGATTACAACTCGTCAAGTGACGGCGAGGCCAATCCTGGTCGTGACGTCGCGGACGGGAGCCATAAGAGGGCGCCACCGAAATATCTCGGCGCTAATAGTGTGGTAACTCTGGTTGAGCGTGACTGCAGTTTCAGGTGACTTAAGTGATACCCTCGTCACACTTTTAACTGCAGTTACGCTAAGCCACAGTTATCCCACGATACTTGCGGACATCATTCTAGGGCTATGCAGTCAAAGCTACGGGCGCACATGCGCTTGAGCATGTCAAGCACCCATCAAAGCGGTGCACGCGCACTCTTCAGTTCCGAAATATCTATCCGAGAGTATAGGGAGTATTCACTGGCGGCCATATCCATGTGCGCTGCTGCTGAGCGCGTGCTGACGGCGAGCTTCCGCAGTCCTTTTGGAGCGTGCATTTCGCACCATCAAGGTTGCCGGTCTTAGCAGGCTATTAATGTGAGCTCGTTCTGAGCATGCGCTATAAACATCGCCCTCAAATATGGCGTCCAGTGAATACTTCCTATAGGGAGTATTCACTGGACGCCATATTTGTGGGTGCTGTTTGAGGGCGGTGCTTAGAGAGCATGGTCAGAAGGAGCTCCCATTAATAGGATAAGACCGGCATTCCTGATGGTGCGGAATACATATTGCAAGAGAACTGTGGAAGATCGCCGTCAGGTCGCTCTCAGCAGTTGCGCACACAGCTATGGCCGCCAGTGAATACTCGCTATGGTGTGGTAACTGTGGTAACAATTAACAGCAGTTAAGGTTGAGTCAACGGCGGTTAAGGATACCCGCGTAACACCGGTATTACAAGGGTTGATTGCGTCCCCCTGTCCTATACTGCGAGGGGTACAGTGTTGGAGCAGGTTAAAAAGTGGAGAGGGCTGGGAAAGAAGGAGGGAGTAAAAGGGGAAAGCGCAAAGTATACGTCGGCCTTTAAACGAAATATCCAACGGGCATGCCTCCCGAGACCGGTGACACGCATTTTTAGCTCAAGTCATAAGCGCTGGAAAGGTGTGTACGTGGGGGGTCATGGAGATTCGCTTACCTTTCCGTCGCTGTGATTACACAAGTCAAACAGGGGCACCAGGGCAGCGACACCAGAGCCACTTCCTCGCGCGCATGCGTCGTCGGCGCCGCCGCAGACGACAGCCCTCGGGACTGCGTTCTGCCGCGTCATCACAGCTGACACAGCCCATCTGCAATTGTGACCTCGGCCGCTTAGACAAAAGGGTCAACGACCTAAAAAGAAAGTTTCCCAATAGGTCTACTTTCCCGGAAAGCATTCAGAGAGCCAATCACACTCTAAGAAATGTGGTTCGTCTACTTTCCCGAAAGCACTCAGAGAACCAATCCCACTTCAAGAAACCTGTGCATCTACTTTCCCGCAGAGCACTCGAAGACAGAGCCGTAACGTCATACACTCTAAAAGAAAGCCGGTGAGTTTGCGTTCCCGCACAACACTCGGAGAGCCGATCACCTCAACTTACGGAGGAAACTCAGCGAATGACAATGCCGAAACATATGTTTAAGACCAAAAAACGCAGTCTGAGTTGTGACATTAAGCAATGCAAAACGTCACGCTTGCATTGCTTAATGTCACAACTCAGACTGCGTTTTTTGGTCTTAGCATATGTTTCGGCGGTGTCATTCGCTGAGCCGCCTCTGTAAGTTGCGGTGATTGGCTCTCCGAGTGCTGTGCGTGAAAGTAGACGCACATACTTTTTTAGAGTGTATATCAGCACAACCCCCCCCCCCCCCCCCCCCTTTCCCAAACCTGACCCATAAATCCGCCACTGCTCAGATAACCAATCGCACTCTAAGAATTTAAGTGAGTCTGCTTCCCCGCAGAGCCCTCAGGGAGCTAATCACACTCTAAGAAAAAACCTGGTGCGACTACTCTCCCACAGAGCACTCCAGGAGCCAATCACACTGCAAGAAATCTGGTGCGTCTACTCTCTCGCAGAGCACTCCAGGAGCCAATCACACTGTAAGAAATCTGGTGCGCCTACTTTTCCGCAAAGACCTCGGGAAAGCCAATCGCTGCAATCTTTGGAGGAAGCTCAAAGATGGACGGAGCTTAAAATATGTTAAAACCTAGGAAAAAAGTTTGTGCTGTGGCACTGAGCATGAAGTGTCACCATGCCCAGTGTCACAGCGTAAACTGTTTTTGGAGATCTAAAGATATTTTCAGCCTGGTCCTTCTCCAAGCTTCCTCCGCAGATGACACCGATCGGCTTTCAAGTGCTTCGCGGGAAAGCAGGCACTCCAGATTTCTTACAGTGTACTATCTTGAGGGGGAAAAAAAAGACCCCACTTATTGTATTACACCAATAAAGACTTCGATGAGCATATGTCGCGAGCACATGAACTGCCCAAAGTCAGTTGCACACACATACTTTTTTTTTTGTTGTTGGAACGTTTTGTCGCTTGGCCCCTGACAACCAGATCGGTAACAACTTCCCTACAGTTCAAACCTCCCTAAAAAAAACACTAAAAAAAGTTTTGTTTTTTTTTGGTAAAAAAGGAAGACCAGAGAAGCTGTACTATGGTGAGAATGAAGTAATGGCCGGCCGCAAATTCAGCTATCCAGGGTGGAAAGGCTGAATAGGTTGCCGACATCTATGAGCGACGTCGGCAACCAGACAACAGGCAAGCCGGTTGTCTGGTGGCCGCCGTCGTTCAGAGTAGCGGTAGCTGTCCAGAGTTTTGTGTCATCATTTGTTTGCTGGCGGACACGATACCGGGGAAACTAGCCCTTAACAGCTCCGCTCTAAAAAAAATCTAAACGCTTAGTTGTTTTTTTTTTGTTTTTTTTGCAGAACACGGATACAGTTTATCCCACAGAACGATAGAAGGATCCTTGCGAACGTGAGGAGCTAAGAATGCGATTAGATCCGAAAGATACGATGGGCCGAGGGACAACAAGCGAGTGAAACGTCGTGCGCAGATCGCACTTGTTTAGTCCAACCGTTATCTGAACTTCGTCATTCGATGTGATCCTTCTATCGTTAGCCGTGATCGGATGTCTCGAATTCGTTAATAAAAAAATCCTTATATATATATATATATATCTTTCTTTTTCTTTTTTTTCTTTTTTTTAATGTGAAACCGAGTGTGGCGACGCCATTAACACGGCAGCGGAGGAGAGGGCTCTAGTACTTCGTATCCTTTGGTCAGATGGCAGCCTTCCTTCATAAGTACAGTCCGTATAATCAACGTGTAAACTAATGCAGATAAATAGTATACAACGCAACGCACGACACGCTATAGGAGTATAGTTGTCGCTTTCCCGTAACAGCAGCAAGGTCAAAAGGTGCTGCGCTCGGACGTCGCCTTCAATTTCACCGATAAAAGCGGAATAGATCCTACTAACGACCTCATGGAGAGCTCCCGGGCAATCGTGACAGGATGACCATACAACCGTGCTTTTGGTAGCTCGCGTGCCCCATAACCTCCGCAGCCGTATGGGACCTCACGCAGAATGCTGTGCTAAGTTGGCGCATCGCGCAATATTTCTTTACGTTTTTTTTAATAAGTATACTAAACTGGCGAATCATTCTTCCCCGAAAAAAATAAAAAAAAAAAGTGCAGGCTCATAAATTTTTACGACGCAGGGCGCAGGGCTCGCATCCCTATTCCCACATTCCAAGACATATGCCAGATAAGGACATAAAAAAAAAAAAAGTTCGAATACAAAACCTAAAATAAAACCCGAAGAAACAGCAGCGCACCGGCCTTCGCCCTTCCCAACCTCCAAAACAGCCAAATGCGCGGACACGAGACTAACAAAGGTCCCCCTTTTTTTCTCCAAAACAGCTCCAGCTGTTCCCTCCCTCCTCCCCTCCTCTCCTCCCTTCGACCCTCCCAAAACAAAAAACAAAAACCTCTAAACCTAAGACAATAGGGGAGGGAGAAGCCCGTAATGTGGAGAGGAGGACACTAACGTAAGCAAGGCGGGCGGGTGGAGAGGAGGAAAGAGCGTAGAGGGAGAGGAAGGCGCACCCGCCCACTTTTGTTTCGCTTGTCTCCATTTTGTTTTTCCGGTCTTCTCAAAAGGCGCCTGGAAAACCAAGCATTGCCGACTTGGTCGTGTTGTCGAAGTCTCAGAGATGGTTCGTGGACGCTTCTACTGAAGTTCCACGTGCTCCCCCCGAAACAAGCCTAAACTTTTTTTTTTTTTTTCATTGTTTTTGGGCGGCTAGAATTTTTTTTTCTTCCAGCTAGCCCGTGGAAAATCGTCAACTGGAAACAAGACTGCTAACGGCACTGCAATAACAGGTCAGTGGACAGGAAACTTCATTACTATACGTATATTCACACCCCGAATATATAATCCAATCGCCCGTTCAATTCATTTCTCCAGCAGTTCGTTAGCCGTTTTATGACTCTTCTTTTCTACGAGACAATCGCAACAGTCAGTTTGGGATATCTTCCGACAATCTAATTATAATTCTAGCGAAAAAGAAAAAAAAAATGAAGGATACATAGATATCGTGATCGTAAACGTGTACATAACAAAATAAAAAGCTCTCGCATGAAAACATATTCTGAAATTTGACGTCTGACATTTGAATTTTTAATATTTTATCGAGACTCCACAGTATACTCATAAAGTACGTCGAGGTGCGAGTAATCCAGAAACGACAGCAAAGACGTAATGTCAAAAGTGACGAAACGCTTTCAAGAAATCGCTGAATTGATTTTACGTGCCCAATAGGGAAGTCCGACGGAGCCGTTTCTACCCTGGCGTAATTCCAGCGGTGACCGACTACTCATTATTGTGCAGCGTCAAAGTGTTGTTTCTGTTCGTTATTCACAGTCCGCGTCTTCCATAAAGCTGGATTCATCCGTAAAAGTCGCTCATCCCACCGGTTTGACTTCATGCACCTCTTTATTGCAACTCGGTTCTCCAGACAGTAACGCGCGGCAACCGCTCAAACAAAAATAACAAAATGCCATTTTGATCTTTCTAAGTATCGTCGTGAATATTATTTGGCACATCTGATATGACTAGCCTCCAAGCACGATCCACCTGGATACTAGAACAGGAGAAATAATATTTGAAGTCAATGTTTCGGTTATCATCGTCATCAATCATTTGAAGATACCTCTTCGCTGATTGGCTGACAGCCTCGAAAGTTGCCGCGTTAATTGATAGTCGCGGCAACCGAGTCTTTACGATTTCCAACAGGATCGATTCCATGCGCTTTTGTTGCATGACTTCCGAAGGAAACCCGCCGAATTCCAATTAAATTGCCCCGCTTGAATTAAGCATGCACAGACTTTATACGAGAAAACCGTTCACAGCGTCCTACTGTCGAAACAGCCGTTACAAAGAGGCACTACGCTTTTTCATCACCAACCTTAAAAATGTAATTATGTAGACCACGGGTCTCACTTCTAAAACACGCGGCCCTCGACTCACTGGGACACGAACCGCAGGCAACCGACTACGAGTCCCGGTTCCCATGTCTCGAGCGCTAGAAATAATATGCGCCATAGGGATCTTATCTCGCCGATTCATTTTCGCTCGAAAAGTAGCTCTGCTCTTTTAAAGTATTCACATTGTTTACACTTATCTGTGTTCATTTGCCATTTGTTTCGATTTATTTTTTGCCTTCCCAGCTTTTCGTAATGAACAACAATTCCGTTGCTGGGCCGCAAGCGCGAGCACTTCGTTAGAGGATGCATCCACTGATTTCCATCGATGCATCTCGGCTCAGCGAACTCTCCATGAGCATAAACAACTGCCAAAGATAAAACTACAACCTCAAAATTCTCGCACAAAAAAAAAAAAAGAGACGTTTAAAAGCCAAGTATTTGTTGTAATGTTGTAATAAAATTCGCCAGAAAAGTAGGAGTAAGTAAAGTCTGGGCAATCTGGCCCCCACACTCAAATGAGTTTGAGTGTGGGGGGTTAATATTGTCAGTACCAACCGACCCCCTCGAAAAAATCACCAGCCCGCGAAAACAATAATAATAAAAAAATCGAACCCTGTTTTTAATTGTTATCGTCGAAACCACACTTCCTACAAATTCCAGTGCGTCTGCATGCTTGCAGTGCGGAAGAGCAGACGGGTCCAGATTTTTTAAAGTACAGCGGGTCACACGAAAGTACCGCGGCTCTGATTGGCTGCTGGCGCCTCGAACGTTCCTAAGCTGCAACAGCCATCTCGTCGTATAGTTTCGAGCCGGA